CGATTTTTTTTTTTTACTGAACTATATACCAGCACAAGCCGTAGGATGGGTGCAGTTACTCTGGTATAAAGGTGTCTTCACCCAGCCTACAGGTTTAGCGATGCTGGTATTAGCACCTTTATATTGTTATCACGGCATCCATGCTAGGGGGTTTGTATCACTAACTGTTCCAGTGGAGTTAAAATGGTGCAACATTTGGGTGTGGATAAGCCCTTAGCTGCATCGGCTTTGCCTAGCTCGAGGAAGAGGAAGAACTTGCTTCAGAAGCTAAATTCGGACATGGGGACCAGATGTTCTGTCAATATTACATAGCCCCTTTTCAGGACAGACCTGCCCCTTTAATATCCATTGCCCCTAAAATGAGAAGGCAGAGCTGTCTGAAGATACAGGCTGAGCTTTGCCTAGCTGCCTGGGGGAGTTGGGAACATGATTCCCATGGGAACAGGTGCTCAGATCGATCAGGCATCATTGGACAGGCTGGTACCCGTCTCCAGCCTGTCCAATGATGGACAGGGGAATCTTGTCTACAATAGATTCCCACTGAGTTCTCAGTGGCATCAGGCCATATTGCAGCTGCGATGTTGCTAATAACACAGCATTTCTGTGTACCCCAGAAAGTGCAGGTGGTGATCACCGTCCTGGATTACGACAAGCTGGGGAAGAATGAAGCCATCGGCAAAGTATTTGTTGGCTCCAACGCCAGTGGCACGGAGCTGCGGCATTGGTCCGACATGCTGGCTAACCCCAGGCGGCCCATCGCCCAGTGGCACTCCCTGAAGCCGGAAGAAGAGGTGGACGCATCGCTCGGGAAGAACAAATAGGAAGCTCCATAGCCCAGCATAACCTACGGACATTCTAAGCGACCCAGAGCTATCGATACCTCAGTTATGTAACCTTTGGTTTTTGCTTCCATTTTGTTTTAAGCTGCACTACCCTTTGGTGACTGTGGAAGGGTTTCCAGACAGTCCTGAGCGCTGTCAGGGGAAATGGTTAAAGACAGGGATGGTTCTTTTCATTCTGCAAAGTCGCTTCCTTCCGCTGCATGTCTCATCGTTTCTACGTGCTGTTCTTTGAAAGCGTAAAGCCAGCTTCTGCCGTAGGTCCCAGAGGTGCCAGGCCGTGGCAGGACATCGTCTTCCTTTCTCTTCGGTTTTACACTGGGACCTTCAAACATTGTGCTAAGGTGACAGCTGAGCCTGAAAATGTGAGTTGACCAGATACACTGTGCTTGCTTTGGGGATACGTACAGCTGGACTAGGCGGGTCGGTGGAGAAGAGCTGTGATGAACATCTGGGTGTCTTCGTACGACTGCTTTGACTCCCATCAGCCGCCCAGAGAAGCGAGAGAGCAGCCGCGTTGGGACTGGAACGTCCAAGGCTCCATCGAACATCTTAAGGTTTAGTTTCTTCTGGTGCGACAGGTGCATTGCTGGGCATACAGACCCTGGGCTATTGCCACCCTGTGGCAGCTAGGTAGGGTATTGAACCTTGCAGCTCCCCATGTGATTGCCAGAGAAGGGGAGCGGTTACACCGCGGGTGCATGTCTTCGATAACTGAACGTTCACAATTCCAATCTCAGTGCAGGACAGAGCACAAGAGAGTCTTGGTTTTGAAAAACAGCATCATGGGATATTTATGCAAATGACCATTGCGAGGCAGGCTTACAGTAGCAGCTGGACTTGAGACGGGCCCACCCAATCAAGAAGAATCTAGGTTGATTTACCAAAATGGCTGCTTAAAGCCATCCGTGTAGGCTAAACAACGTCTTAAATGCAAGCAGCTCTGAGAGGAGTTGCATACATGTCCCATCACACATTGCACTACTGTACGTCTTCTGAAGATGCATGTCCAGAGCCAGATACGTCCCAGGGGAGGGTTTAAGGTACAAGGTCTTCAGAACTTAAGGCGAGAGGGTGGAGCTGGGGTGTTAATGAGGCAGGTGCAAATCCCCCCCAGTGTTTCTACCCATCTGGCTGCATGTGACCCATGCAGTGAGCTGCTCAAATGTGGCGATGTGATGAGAGAGCTTGCTCCAGCCTGCCGCTTGAAGCTGTTCCACTTTAATTAACTGTTATTGGGGCCAAGCAAAGTCAGAAGCTGCCTCTAGCTCAGGGGTCTGGGCCAGCCCCTGAGATGTTGGACATGCTCAGGGCCGGCTCCAGGCACCAGCTGAGCAAGCAGGTGCTTGGGGCGGCACGTTGGGCTCTTAGGCGGCAATTCGGCAGAGGATCCCTCGGTCCCTCTCGGAGGGAAGGACCTGCCGCCAAAGAAGAAAGCGGCGCGGTGGAGCTGCCGCGGATCGCGATCACGGTTTATTTGTTTTTTCCGCCGCTTGGGGCAGCAAAAACCCTGGAGCCGGACCTGGACATGCTGGGTCAGTTCCTGCCTCTGCTTGCTAAGAGGAAGAGTCGGTTAAGTGCTCTTATCCTTGTCCTTGCCTGTTGACGCTAGGCCACTTCCATTCAGTATTAGGTGGGCCCACCCAAGGGTTAGGAGCGCGCTGTAGTCCAGTGGTTAAGGTACTTGCCTGTGTTGTGGGGGAGCCTAGTGCCAGTCTCCCCTCGGCCCCCTAAGGAGGGGTTTGGACAGGGATTTCCTCTCTCCCAGGTGACTGGGGGGGGGGGGTCTTTGTTTAAATCCTGTCTCCTTTGCAGGAGCCATTGTCTTCCTGGGAAAGGGAGGGGGTTTAAACAAGGATCTCCCACCTCTTTGGGAGCAGGGGGCCAGTCCTTGGGATGTGGGCCAATTAATATTTAATTAAAAGTAAAACCAGACCCCCCTCCCTCTGAGTCAGGATGCAGCCTCAAACCAGGCTTGCCTATATCCCAGCTGCAGAGCATAACCAGAGGGCTACAGGGGAACTCACAGCAGGAAGGTCTTAATCTCCCCTGGTGAAGTTGTTCCACTTTATAGTTATAGGTATTGGGCTCCACAGAGAAACAAGGGAGCTGTGAGGGAGTCCCTCGCTAGGCCCGTGGTTAGATGATTTACCAGGCATGGGCAGGATGGGAGTTTGCTAGGGTGCCCGGTGAGTGCTGTGGAGGCAGCGAGCATCTCAAACCAGGTGGGTCGCTTCAGAGAATAGCGTCTGTGCCCAAAACACAGTTGTCTCATAGAAATGTTGTGGCTATAAACTATGCCAGTGGGGCACTCCACCAGTAGCTAACACAGCCAGAGCCCCACCTTTGTGGCCCTGCCAAGGGAGTAGGGCACTGGGACCAGGCTCTCCCACACCCCAGCTTGGGCCTTAACCCCCAGGCCAGAGAGAATTGCCTAGCTGGGCACTGTCAATCTCCCCCGTTGACACTGGGCCAGAGACCCAGCACAAGCAGTTGACTTTCTAGCCCAGTAGTAGTGGCCCTCAGCTGGGCTGTATGAGTGTCAGGTTTAAGTCCCTACCTCGATATGTGTGTATGAAATTGTCTAGACTGCTTGAGCCTGGGCAGCACTCTTATATGGGGGCGTGTGCCTGCAGTGCTTTGCTTCCTGGCACAAACGAGACCATGCCCCAGTCTTTTCACACCAGGCAGTACCACCCCTCCACCACAGCCCAGAGGCTGGGACGCTCCAGCAAAAGCTGCCATCAACTCTGAGTCAGCCTCAAACTTGGCTCTCCCACTCTCCATGGCCCGAGCCTAACCCTGGGGGAAGCCAGGCCTTGAGGCTCTGGCGCTCACGCTCTGCCCTGTTGAAGCGGTCCCATGTCATAGTGTTAACTAGGCATTGGGCTGAGAGGAAAAAGGGCATTTGAGCCTGTCTCAGGGCCCCGAGTTGCTATAAAATCTGGGGCAGTGGGAGTTGTGGGCTAACAGGAAGCCTGGTAAATGCTAGCCAGGAGCACACCCAGGGTGAGAGCCAGCTGAAACACTGAGTGTCTGGCTTCGCCATGAAACCCCTTGAGATAATCTCAGTCACTGGTGCCCGTGGGATGGGTGAGTAGCTGGCCCAGGGGACCAGGGGGGGAAGGGAAGTGCTCTCTCACCCCCTTCCAGCGTCATACACAGCTAAGAGAGGAAGTACGTTGGCTAAGAGAGAGACTGAATCCATTCCAAACAAGGACCAAAGGTGCCCCAAAGGCCAAGGTATCTGCTGCTTACCACAAGGCCATCTGGCTGATGAATCCAGTCCAGTTCCTTTGCCTCTCCAGATATAGGCCATATTCCCCCTCTCTCCCAAAGAGCAGTGAATGTCTTGAGCCCCCAACCTCCTTTTCAGGGGCCAGGACTGGATCTGATACGGAAACAGACTCGCGTCATGCCCCCACTACAGCGGTTCCTGAGGTAACAAGGAGGACCCACCATCCCATCCCAATTCAGTCCACTCTGTACTGGAGTAGACCAAGCAAGCCAGTTTCCCATTTACCGGCTCTAAGAGGCCTTCAATGTTAGTGGCTTTGCTTTGGTTGAACCAGCGCATTGGCTAGTAGCATCTGATGTGCATCCACTCAGTAGCTTCCTTTTCTTCTGAGAGTCCAGTCCTGTTTTATTCTGGACCTTTTGCATAATAGCCCTTAAAGGACCTCGCTGCAGCCCCGTGACAGCCAGCTCTGGAGTATCCTTGCAAATCTCCCTGATTACCAACTACGTTTTCCTGGCAACATGGCTTGGCCTATGGAAGTGTCTTCCCAGGGAAGGTTGCAACTGGCCACACCACTAGCAAACTTACTAGAGGGACTGCTCCTGCTTTGGCCTCTACCCAGGCTTTCCAGCCCCACAGCTTGTGGTTTAGAGAAGCAGACCGCAGCACCACGCAGCTGCTGAAATGAGATTTTTGTGAGTAGGAAGAGTGTGAGGAGAGCAAAAGTCATAAGCTTTGGTGGGGCCAGTGGCACAGAGTCCGGGACACCTCACAGGAGGTGGAATTCACCAGTGCCCAGAGAGTCTAGGTCGTGCAGTTGTCAGTTTCACACCTTACCCCCTAGTACAATTGGGGAATGTTTCACTCCCAACCCCCTCTCCACCCTATCCTTTCTCTCCGACAGTTATTGATCCTTTAGTTGTACACTCCACACACACACCCAACCCCTTACCTTTTAAGTCCTGCTGGAGCTTCAATATTTAATCAGCAGGAGAGCTCCGTGCACCCATGAGCCTGGCAGTGGGGCAGTCCTACTACCTGTAACTAGGGAAGAGTAAGTTTGGTCCCAGTTCTAAGAGCCAGGAGGCTGCTGAGGGTGCTTGGGGACCGTTGTAGGAGGGAGCCCTCCGTACAGGAGCTTTAAACACAAGCCAGCCTCATTGCTGATCGTACATCCTTGCTGCACAACGGCGAAGGCTAGGAGGTCTAAGGAGCAGAGGCAGCGATTCCCCACAGCAGAGTGTCTAAGCCCTGCACCCGGCTGCCTCAGAGCTCCTGCTACCTTTGAGGGACGGGAAAGAGCAAAGCAGCCCTCAGCAGGTTACAAGCATGATCTAAGGAGTGTGCCCTTTTCTGAGACGTGGGGGCGTCTGCCTGCGCTAGACACAGATCTACCACCTCCTCCAGTCCATAAGCAAAGCTGGTCCAAGAAAGTGAAAGGTTAATGGGAGTTTTCTGAACCAAGGTGACAAACACACCAGAGCTTTGTGATTGTGACACAAGCAGACGAATAAACCCAACGGGCTCTGCTTTCACACCAGGCCTTGGCCTGTTGCCCCATCCTACTTACTTCTATTGTTGGGGTCCTTAAATCAGCCTCTAATGCCGTGGCCCACCACCGCCTGGCCTAGTGTTCAGTTTATTATTACAGAGAATACTAAGAGTGTTAAAAAACAATCATATATGGGACTGGGGGGAGCAGGAAAGAATAACTGGGTGAGCAGAATGCGCGTTCAACATACCCGGCTTAGGACTGGTGTAGGGCACAACTGGTGGGTGGGGCACCGGGGGGGACGGGACACTACCAACCCTCTCTCCCTCCCATTTTGCTCCCTTTTCCACTGGCCTCTATCAGGCGTCAACTCCTCTGCAATGGACAATGCACCCCACCCTCCCCCCAAATCGAGTCCTGCGCTATTGAATTTGGCACATTTTTAACTTGGACTGTTTAAAAGAGGGGGAGGAGGAGACGGTGGGAACCGTGACTTAATACTTTTTTTTTTTTAAAGGGAAAAAGCTCCCCCACCCCAACATACTCAAGCCATCTGAGCCTCATCCAAAATCCCTTCTTGTATATGTAGTTACATATCTATATAGCTAGCTACGAACAGCCAACCTTGGTGACAATGCATGACAGATAACCACTATGTAAATAGCAGCATGGTTAGCGCAGACTCCATACACTTTGTTACACCTCAGCCATTGGGCAGGATACACCCAGGCTGCAGAGTTATTTTTAAAATGCGTGAGTGGATTTATTTTACCCAAGAGGACAGAGCAAGACCTATTAAAAAAACAACCTTTATTGCCCAAGTCAGTAGGCTCAACAATATCCATTTATTTTCAATTAAAAAAAAACAATTAAAAATGATAAGGAACAAAGCATGCCTGATCCATTCACAAATAGTTGAGGGGTAAATAACAAGCCAGTACGGGGGATAATTTCATGTGTGTCTTGTAATCTATACGTGCAAAACTGTATCTTGTTGAATTTATGCCATGTCCAGGTAGCGGCAACATTGTGGCTTTGGCGTCCTGTCCCGTGCTGATGCATTTTACTGTCAAAGCAAACTTAGAAGCCATATTAGACCACGGCCTGCCAGGATCCTCAAGTGGGATGGGCCGACAGGTGATCCTCTGTGTCCTCCTGGTCCCTCTTGGTAATGTCTCTCCCTGTGTTTTGTTAAGGATCTCCCAAACCCTCGTCCTGGGGGTGGGCTGGCTCAGGACGCTAGCCTTTGCCATGGCCTGGAAGTTAGTCCTCACCATGGCTTTCAGCTACGTCCAAGCTGGAGCCCCATACAGGTGGGTTTGGACTGGCACAGTTTGAAGCGCTGGGATCCCTTTGTTACATGCCAGGGGCAAATGCTGGAGCTCCTTTGGCAGAGAAGCGTGGCCTGAGCTCCTCGGTGCTAGCCCTCCCCAGTCTGATGCAGCCCGAGGTCCTGTCCGTTGTGTCATGAGCTTCTTCAGGGGACAGAGAGAGAACCAAGAGAATCTGATGCATTACTGGCCGCCTGTGACTGAGATCGGGCCTGCTATTGCTCCTGACCCTGGCTCTCCAACCTGGGGCGACTGAGCAGAGTTTGGACTCTGTCTGAGCAGGGCGACCGCCCTCTGGATCAAGGGCAGCCCCTGGACAGCAGGGCCGCATGGGACAGTTCTTGCCATTAGTGGGGCCGAGTTGTAACATTTAAACCAGCTCTCGACCCCCTCCCCCCCCGGGAGACAGGAGTGGGTTGCAACCACACAGCTGTTGGTGGCTGTGCCGGGGGCCTGGGACCCATCAGCCGCACTCGCAGCAGGGAGCATTGTTTGCCATTGGGACAGATGAGCCGGGATCCTGGTGCATTAAGAGGCTTCAATGCAGACTGGACGTTCCCCTAAGAGGGATGCTCTGTCTCGTGCTATGCAGGAGCTCAGAGAAGAGCAGAATGGCCCCTGTACCCCTCACCACCATGGATGTGTGCGCCCACTGCAGCCCCCCAGGACTGGGGTGCAGCAAATCCAACCCTGCCCCTCTGAAGCAGCTCATGGGAGATGTGGCCAAAGCTGCAGCAATGGGGGAAGGGAGCTGGGCAGGCGAGAGGGGGAGCGAGGGCTGCTGCCGCAGCACAGATCAACCAGAGCGCACGAGGCTGCAGCAGGCGAAGGACTGACCCGGTCCTCAGCCCCGGAGCGAGCCCAGCAGGGGACGCAGGGCTGGCCGGCCCTGCCCTGCACGCTGTGGCCGGCCTGGGTCTTGGGATCAAGCAGCAGGGGAGGGAGCTGTAGGCAAGAGGAAGCCAGCTCACCCGGGGGAGGGAGTGGGGGCCATGTCAGGCCTTCACGCCCTGCATGCGCGGCTGCAAGAAGCTGGGAAATTCCTGCTGGCAACAGGGGGTACGTCCCATTTCAGTGTCCGCCCCCCGAGCACAGGCCCATGGGTAACAGCCACCAGGCTCTGCTCTGCTGCCTTGGGGAAGGAAAGGGATCTCAGCCTTCAAATCTGGACATTCAAGCACCAGGCTGGGCCAGGGTGGGGTCCCGCCTTCCTGCCCCCTCCTCCTGAGGGGTCTGTATACAAATCTCCCTCCCCCCCAAGTCTTGAGATCATCCCAATCTCAACCCCTTCCTGGCCTCTCCCCCAGTGCACCCGTCTCTGCAGCACTGAACTCCGGCAGGAAACTGCTTTTAACACCCCCCTGCCCTCCCTTGTGTGGACTCTGTTGTTTCTGTGTCTATTGTCAAACTGTTATTTTGTAACAATGTCCGTCTCCTTATTAAAGAAACGAGCTGAAAGCAGCAACTGGGCGTCCCTGTTGTGTTAGCGCGGCTAGGCCCTGGGCGCCCCAGGGCTGGAGCAATGAGGAAGAGCCTCAGCCCTGTAGCCGGGATCACAGGGCGGTTCTGCCCCCACCCTGAGATCGCTAGGGGCAGCTCAGGGCCCTACAGCAGCGTAAGCCAGTGGGAATGCAAATCTGACGCCTGCTGGGGCTCTTCCTTGCAACATGCGTCTCACAGGCCCTGCTGCTCCAGCGTGGTTGTCCAAGCACTGGAGTGAGAAAGCAGGAAGGAGGTGAGACTCAAAGAGCTGAACGGGGGCTGGAGGAGAGAACAGGCTCAAACCCAGCTGCGTCTCCACCCCCCCTTCACCCAGCTCTCGGGCGTGGCAATGAAATCCACAGCCAGTAAACACCGGAGAAAATATTAGGAGCAGGCGTGTCCTGTGTCCCATCCAGGCCCTCCGAGCACTATTGAGGATTTACATGTTTCGTTTCAAGGTCGAGACAGCGGGCACAGAGATGGTAACAAATGCACAAATAGCTCATGGAGCTTTTTACAGATTGATCTAGGTTTGGTTTGTGGAGGTTTGAAAGAAACAGTAAAAAAAAAAGCTAAACACATTCGGACTGGAAACAAGGCACAGACTTGGCGCCGTCAGAACAATTTACCAAAGTTCGCAGGGGCTGGATGGTTTTCTAAAGGATCTGCTCTAGTTCAAACAGGAATGAACTCAGGGAAGTCCTATGGCCGGGGGGGTCAGACTGGATACCCACCAGTGGTCCCTTCTAGCCTTGGAATCTATGAAAAAACCCTGCAGGAAGATGGGAAGCAGCTGGCACTTGCTGCATTCCAAGCGCCCCAAAACTCAGGCTCTGCTCCTGGATGGCTGGTGCCGTGGGGCCGCAGATGGCTCCGCGTATGGGAGAAATCCCAGAATGAGGGTCCTGAGATCTTGTCTGTCTGGGCAGCCATAAGGGGACTGGAAAAAATCAGGTTGCCTGGCCACCTCCCCCACCCAGCCCCACGCCCAGTGGCAGGGTGTGTGCTGAGCCAGTTAGAGCTGCAGGAAATTATAGCTTCCAAACTGTGTAGGGTGCGGGCCTGAAGGTGATGGGCTACTCTGAGTGCGGTAACACCCAGCAGCTCCAGGCAAGATCAGGGCCCCCTCGGGCATGGTGCAGCGCACACAGAGGGACACACGATCCCTAGGAGCTGGAGTCTGCTCACCTGGTTTCACTGAAGCCCCAGTAGCCAGGAGACAAGTTGAACCAACTCTCCGAGCACTGGAGCTAGGGGGTGGTCTCCCCCTGCTGGCCACGTGTAGCAATGGCGGGCAACCGCATCGCAACTCTCACCACACCTGGTAACTTGAAACAAAGACAGGTTTCAGAGTAGCAGCCGTGTTAGTCTGTATCCGCAAAAAGAAGAACAGGAGTACTTGTGGCACCTTAGAAACTAACAAATTTCTTAGAGCATAAGCTCCCGTGGACTCCAGCCCACTTCTTCGGATGCATATAGCTATATGCATCCGAAGAAGTGG